AGATATGTGTGTTACTTAATCTTTTGGAGGCCAGGCACAATGGCTCATACCTGTAATCCCAGCACTTTGGGAGGCCCAGGCGGGCGGATCATGAGGTCAGGCGTTTGAGACCAGACTGGCCATCATAGTGAAACCTATCTCTACTAAAAACGCAAAAAATTAGCTGGACGTGGTGGTGGGTGCCTGTAATCCAAGCTACTTGGTAGGCTGAGGCAGGAGAATTGCTTGAACCCGGGAGGTGGAGGTTGCAGTGAGCCAAGATCCCGCCACTGCACTCCAGCCCGGGTGATAGTGTGAGACTCTGTCTCAAAAAAAAAAAAAAAAAAAGAAATCTTTTGGAGAATGTTGATTTTTTTTGTTGAAGCTAGGAATCAACCTGGTTCAGTTCAGGCTGCAAGTTCTGGCTAGCCTTTTGTGGCTTGTGGTCTCAATGTCAGGTCCATTTTCAAAGTCTTTCAGTGCTACTCAAATCTGTCACATGTGTGTGCTGCTTAGTGGCCAGCCAGTGTTCTGGGCAGTTCTCAGAGTTTTCAGTCTTTTCAGAGTGGATCTATGTATGTACAACTCAGAGGTAAGCCCAGTCGTTCATAACTACTTTGTGGGATCATTTTCCAAAGCTGCTCCTCCCTCTCCACAGTCTCCCCAGTACTTTTCAGTTCCCTGGAGCTCCCTTTTTCAGTTCTCCAGCCATAGAGCTGTGGTTTTAGTTACACCTCTTTGCCCACACTTCCCATTATTGTACCTCCATCCAGAGTAAAGTAGTGGAAGGACAAAGGAAAACAACCACAGCTGCTCTGAACAGATAGGAGGCTTTCCTTTTTTAAGTTTTACGCACCTGTGGGCCCCTATTACTACTGTTGTGGCTACCACCAATCTGCTGAAGATTGCCTGGAGGCAGCAGCAGGAGACAGGGAAAAGAAAGAAAGGAACAACAACAACAAAAACAAATAGGAATTGCCTCACTCTGAGCTTTAGGAGACTCCTTTGCTGTTATGACAAAAGGGTTTCTCCTAGGGCTGTCTCTTTCTGTGCCCTGATGCCCATTTCTAGATTTTAGGCTGCCTGAATCCAGGCTGGGGGATCCTGGAGGAAGAAGGGGTAATTCACCACCTGTTTGGTAATATTTCAAATTATGGTCTTCTTCCCCAATTGCCTGCTACTATCTACAGTGTCTTCAAATAGCTGCTCATGCAGTCTGTCCAGGTTGTATAGTTACATTCAGTGGGAGAGACATGGTGAAGCTGGCTTAATCGGTTGTGTTTGGGTTCTCCAGAGAAACCGAACCAACAGAAGGTACATGTGCATATATGTGTGTGTGTATACATATCTATATGCATATACATGTGTGTATATGCATGTATACATACAGAGAGATATAGATATATAAACTAAGGAATTAGCTTACATGATCATAAAAGCTGAGGAGTCCCAAGATCTGCTGTCAGTAAGCTGGAGACCAGAAGAGTTGACATGTAGCTCCAGTCTGAAAACCAGCAGGCTCAAGATGCAAGAAAAACTGATGTTTCGGTTTGAGTCTGAAGGCCAGAAAGGACCTATGTCCCAGCTCAAATAAGTTGGGCAGGAGGAATTCTCTCTTCCTCAACAGAGGGTCAACTTTTTTATTTTACTCAGGCCTTCAACTGATTGGATGAGGACCACTCACATTAGGGAGGGCATTCCACTTTACTCACTCTATGACTCAAATGTTAATCACATCCAAAAACACTCTCACAGACACACCCAGAATAATATTTGGCCAAATATCTGGCACCCTGTGGCCCAATCAAGTTGACATAAAAAATTAACTATCACATCCATCTTATCCAGAAATAGAATCCTATATAGCATTTTAAAATTTGGAATACTTTTCATAAATTACAGACTACAAATATCTACATATCCTGGCACCAATTTTTATAAAGTAGACTTTAAAACTATCCTTAACATTCTTCAACGTGCTAAAACAGTTCAGAAATGTGATTTAGGAACTCTTTTAATATCAAGCTGATAACGTGATTTACCTTTTTATGATCAATCCAACTGGTAAGTGATGAATATTTTGAAGAAGGACAGGAGTAGTTGCAATAAGACCAGTTAAGAGACTATTGTACAAGTCCAACTGAGAGATGGTAGATATGAATAGTAGTTGCAATGAATTGAATACTGCGAATATCAACAAATCAAGAGCTAGGAACCAGAGCCCAGGGCTTTTGGCTCCCAGGCCTTTGCATCCAGTAAAATATGATGGTGCCATTAAAAGGAATCCTTGATGTCCTGTTATGGAATGTTTGCTGGAATATTCTGTATGACAAAATCTAGGTACACAACAGAGCCTGTAACATACTACCATTTGTACACAAAATGAGGCAAGGGAGATATATATAATTTATGCATGGTTATAAATACCTGGATATCCCTGGAAGGGCACAAAAGAAAAGAGTAACGGTGTCGCCTCTGGGAAAAACTGGGACCAGGGAAGGGAAAGAGACTTGCTAGTCACCATATACAGTCTTCTGTGGCTTGAAATCTTCTACCGTTTTTCATGCATTCATTCAAAAAACTTAACAATTAAAAATCAGTGTTTTTCCAATGCCTAAAGTTCCATGAGTTACAGAGCTCTCAAGAGAATCTGGTCCCACCTCATCTCTTATCAAATCTACCAATGCCTTATGCTGCAGTCACAATGGACTCTGCAGTTTCCCTATTCTGCTCTTTACATGAATGTCCTGCCTTTTTTACTTCCATTCTTTCATACCATTGCTGATCACTGCTTCCTTGACTGGGAATGTCTTCCCTATCTCCTCTTCACTCCAGACATACAGTGGCATACAGTGGCCTCTATTTTCATTCCAAACATGCCTTCACCTTAGAGCCTTTGCATGTACCATTCCCTCTGCCTGGAATGCTCAGCCACCTGATATGTGCCTACTTCCTCACTGCCCTCAGGCCTTTGCTTGCCTCACTTTATCATGAAACAAAGTCCACCCATAGTCACTTTCTTTCTTTCTTTCTTTCTTTCTTTTTTTTTTTTTTGAGACAGAGTCTGGCTCTGTTGCCTAGGCCGGAGTGCGTGGTGTGGTCAGGGCTCACTGCAACCTCCGCCTCCCGGGCTCAAGCAATTCTTCTGCCTCAGCCTCCCAAGTAGCTGGGATTATAGGCGCCCACCACTACACCTAGCTAATTTTTGAATTTTTAGTAGAGACAGGGTTTCACCATGTTGGCCAGGCTGGTCTCAAACTCCCAACCTTAGGTAATCTGCCCACCTCGGCCTCCCAAAGTGCTGGGATTACAGGTGTGAGCCACCATGCTCGGCCTACCCATGGTCACTTTCTAGCCTTTTTTTTCTGTTTTTCTTCACATCACTTGTCATCATGTGCTATTCTGTTGTTGTTGTTGTTCATTATATCACTCTTTCTGGTGGAATATAAACTCTATGAGAGCAGAGACTTCATTTAGAAGTAAATACCCTAATTGTGTCCACCTTGCTCTAAAGGAATTAAGGAAATCATAATAAACCTGAACTTTGCATTTTAAGGATTTGCAATCTAAGACACACTGGGGCAAAATATATGTATGTGTCTATAAAATGAACATTAATTCATAAAACAAAATGAACATTGAAGCCTTCTCATCACAAAGCAAATCCAGAAGATAATGATTTCTGAACAAATATATCCCACTGAACAATATCTTCAAAGTAGAAACCATAAATACAGTCTACTTCTTATACTAGTGATTAGTCTGTGACCCATTTTTCTGAAAGTGTTCTTAAATGGCCCTGGACAGTTAAGTCATATAGAAGCCAAATTACTATTATAAAGTTGTTTAATAGTCATGAAATGGAACCCAAGGAGGTAGATACTATTTAAATGTCATTAAAAATGGCATAAAGCTTTTAGTTTGATGTGTCTGCCTTCTCTCTAGAGGACCCCTGCAACTGCGACAGGCCAGGGCAGCCTTCTCCCTGGACTATGTCGGGCCAGGCTGGGATCTGCCAACTTCGACTTCTGAGTTTCCCTTTTCTTGCCTTTGGTTCCTGCAGCCCTGCTCTCCTGGGTACAAGCATCGTCTATGGATAGGCTATGAGTTATATACACTTCTGCTGCTATCTTCAAACGGATGAAGATGTCACCCAGAATCACATAACATTTATTTATCACTTTGTAGTAATTCTTTATCATGTATCTTTTTGGACAAAGGATTCAAAATAAAAGGGGTGAAGTTTTAAAAATATTCACGTTTCACTATTAAGAGATTGATCTACAGTCTCAGAAAAGTGGACAGTCTCACTGTCGTGGGGTTACCATCCACTTCTTTTGTGATAGTCCACTAAAGAGGTTAAAATACAATTGATTAGGTTTCCTCTAATCACATTTCAGCCCCCCATATCACCTCAATTGAGGTCGGAGTGTTTTCACAGTTTTTCAGTTTCCTGATTTACGAGCACAGATGGTTAATTACATCCACCATGGGTCTGGCAAGCAAGGTTACTAGAAGTAATCTTAAATCTCATTCAAAGCTCTTGGGAATCCCTACAGCAAGGAAAATAAGGCGAGGGGAGAGACTGATTAGATTTCTAGAAGAAAGGTGGAGTGTGAGGTGAAACTTAACAAGACAGCAGAATTTCACAGTTAAAAAAAAAGGGGGGGGGGTGCTTCAGGGGCTGCAGAAACAGCTAAAGCACATTTGGAGAGCCTGATCCACGGAGCAGCCCCTGGGATGGAAGGGGCTGGTGCAATGTGAAGTAAGGCAAACCGAATACATGTTGTGAAGACTTTTAAACGCCAAACTGAGGCGTCGGAACTTTGCTCCGCGGGCACCTAGGAGCCATCGAAGGTTCCCAGCAGGTGAGTGGCCTGACGATTGGCTGCACTGATCCACATTACAGTTTCTCCAGCGCTCTCTGCCTACCCCAGCACGAGTCCAGGCCGGCTTCGCAGTTGCTGGCGGCTGAGCGACCCCGCAACTGAAGCGCCAGGCCACGCCGCGCAGTCCGGGATGCTGACCCGGCCCGGGAAGGAGCTGCGGCGCCGCCACCGGGCGCTGCACCTGGGTCGGCCCGGCTGCCGATTGGACGGCTCAGGGTGACCCCACTGTATCGCGAGACGAGATTGGCAGCGGCGGGGCCTCAAGTGCCCCCGCGCTGGCTTTGTACGCAGAGCCGCCTGCCGGTCTTTTAACAATGGGCGGCGCGAGCGTCCAGGCGCTGGGCCCGAGCTGAGGTCGGCGCTTAGCTGCCGACTGTCCGCAGCATGAGCGGGGCCGGCGTCCCTATCACGCCGGCGGGGCTGGGGCTGTGAGGGCCGCGGTTCCGGGTAAGGGAGCCAGCGTGGGGCCGGGCGGCCCGGCAGGCCTGGGCTAGGCGTGAGGCAGCGGACCCTCCCGGGGCGAGGCGCGGAGCCTGGATGGCCCGGCCTTTTGTTCGCCTGAGGCCGCGCGGAATCGTGCGTTTCTCGGGCGTCCCGGGGAGAAGCAAGAGCCTGATGTCTGCGCGGAGACTCCTGGCCAGACAGACGGTCACCCCCGGGCTTCTCCGTGGGAGCGTTTCCCCTCAGCGGGGCTGTGACCGTGTCACCTCTCCGCACTCCTCAGGGCGGGCGGGAGAGCTCCAGCCCCGGACGCAGGGAGCCCCAGCCCGGCCTTCCGCAGCTCTTCTCGAGCTCGCGCCCGGCTCCCCGCTTTGGCAACTCGGGGCCTGAGTGGATCCCCTTTTGCCCAACACGCAGTCGGGCAGAGTCTCCCAAGTCCTTCGGCTCCTCCTGAGGGAGCAGACCCGGCCTCGCGTGTGGCGTTGGGGAACAGGCTCGGGTCGGGACTGGGTTGAGGAAGAGTCAGGTGAAGATGAGCAGCCACACTGGGTGGCCTGAGGTCACACCCCCGGGGGAGAGGGGCGCAGAGGGTCGCGGGGAGAGCCGGCAGTGACCGCGCCTGGGGTGTGTCTTACAGACTTGAGTTGCCGCGTCGGGCTGGGCGCGCCGCTGGGTCCCATGGAGCTGGAGGGGCAGTGGTGGCGAGGACAACTGGCCGCTGACATTCACCAAGCGCTTCGCTACAAGGTAACTCCGAGGCCCGGCCTGCCTTCTCCTTCGGTGTCTCGCGCCAGTTGTTCTGAATCTCGACTCCCTAGAAAGTCTAGTCAGGTTCTTTACTCCTTACCTTCCGGGCCAGAAAAGGCGAGTTTGCTCATTTGCTCAAGGTTAATTAACTTCTTGGCTCCTTCCCTAGGATATATCAGAAGAACCTGCAACTTGAATGAGGAGGGAGATGGTAGTTGGGCCAGGAAAGGTGAAAAGGGGCTTTCTGATATTCTGATTTCCGGGTGGATCATGAATTTTATCTTGTGTTTTAAAAGATACATACAGTGAATTTTTGTTGGGCAGAACAGCCCTCTTTGTTCGAGAGTTGCTGTTGCATGCAGCCAGTTTAAATCGCTTTTGTACGTAAATTGCTGTAAGACTTTGGACGAGTTAAATTTGTTTCTTAATTTCCTCATCTGTAAAATGAGGAATAATAAGAGTGTGCCTTATGATTCTGGCGATTGTGAAATTTAAGTTAGTACTGTACATGTGCTTAGAAACTGCTCTTGCAATATAGTAAGCACTACGTGATAACAGTCTTATCTCTTACCCCTCAAGATTTGGGCTGTTCCCCTAAGGTGGAGGGAGTTGGCTGCTCCTTCCTGCTGATAAAGGCAGAAAGTAGACCTAATATACTTTATAAATATTGGGGAAAAAAAAAAAACTTTTCCAACACAAAGCAAAGTCTGTGTATTTTTGCTATTAAGTAACGATTTTACTCTGCATGTGGCAAGGCAGATTAATGAGACATTTCTGCCTCTTTGATAACCAAAAGAGAGACCAGATACAAAATGATCTCTAGCTCAACTCAGTTTCACCTTGGATAAAAAAAGCCATTTGTTAAATGTAGAAAATTGAGAAAGAAGCAAAACAGCTGACTCTTTTAATAAAAAGGATTCTGACTCTTTGGGTTGAGATCCTGGAATGATAATAACTTTTATCCTGAGTTTCTGACCAGGTAAAGTAGATTGGAAAACCTAATTCTGACTTAAATTGTTACCCTTTTTTAGGCCTGAGATTTCTAAATGCTACTTTCTAATTCTAACATTCAATTTCTTAGATTCACTAAAATACATTCAGCTTCCTAGGAGATGGTCCACATAAAAATTCTAATTAATGGGATCTTTGGAGTGTTAAGAAAGAGTTTCAGGTTCTTTACTTGGAAAATTGTCCAGATACACTTTTGATCTTTTTTTCTTTGGTAGATGTCATCTTTCAATTTGAAATGTTTTCTTTTTTAAAAAGATTGATACGTAATAGTTGTACATAAATGTCAGCCTCTTTATCCCTCTGGTATGTGGTGACATTAATTAGTTGATGTTAAGAGTACCTTTTTTTTTTTTTTTGAGTTGGAGTTTCACCTGACCTCAGGTTATCTGCCTGCCTTGGTCTCCCAAAAGTGCTGGGATTACAGACAGGAGCCACTTTCCCAGGCCAAGAGTACATTTTTTAATTGACATGAAACTTAAAAGATTTTTCTTGGTGATTTTCATGGTTTTCAATCATTTTATTTTATGTGTAGATCATTTTAATTCATGAGTGATTATCTGAATTTTGTCAGCTGAGGTTGGACATGGGTTTTGTTATTTCAAGATTTAGATTTGTTGAAGGCTTTTGTGCATTAATTTCTGGAGCATCCAAGGCATAAGACCCAACTCCGCACTCAAGTTGCTTATAAACTATCAGAGAACAAGGTAACACAGGGTCTGAAGCAATGCCATTGAAAGTTTTCTTGGGCCACCTATGGCCTACTGCCCTGGGTTGTCTTTATATTTAATGGTTCTTACCGGTAACACTTTATAAAGAATCTACATTAGTCAGTAAAACTTAAACTTGTGGAACTGGAGAGACCTCTATTTGTAATACACTGAAGGAAATTTAAAATGGACTTTTCTCATAGAAAAGACATGGTAATTCCAGGCAATTGATGATTCAGTTGGATAGTCATCTGTTTATTTCTTCAACATGTTGATTATTTATAACATACATGGTATTCCAGGTGTTAGAGCAATAACTGAACAAGACAGACATTATCCTTGCCTTCATAGTCTAATCTTATTTCTAATTTAGAGCATCCACATTTAGGTTTTTCCTTTGGGCAGTTGCCATTGAGATACTGTGGAAAGTGTTCTGTGTTTAGACCCAAGGTTTGTGGAGAAATATTTGGTGTGACTAGCATTGTGTCTTAGGAACAGTGAAAATGACAATCAATGGAAATCCTCATGCCAATTATCCACCGCCTCAAAAAAAGCCCCTACAAAGTAGCTGTCCCCTTACTCCCTTTTGTCTCCTTTCATCTTATTTAGCTGTGTATAATTAGCGTCATAGGCTGTTTGGGAAAGTGTCCTTAATGACAAATGGGAACAATTCTAGCTTTGTGAGAAACTTTAAAAAAGTCCATCATTGTTTTCCAGGGAGCCTTTTAAGACTATGTTCAGGCCACTTTTCTGGAAACATTAAGAAAGTTAAGGCCATCAGTGTTTTCCAGGTGTTTCCCAGGGAGTCTTTAAGACCATGTTCGGGCCACTTTTCTGGAAAACCTGCCCTAGTGTTGCCTTTTCCCCCCAATTCCCTATTCCCTAAGCTAAGTTAGATTTTCTTCCTAGCTGTTGCCATAATAACCTGTGATTACTATATTGTGTGGTAATCTCTGTATTTGATTCACCTGCTAGAGATAGGCTTGAGACTGTTTTTCCAGCTTTTATCCCTGGGTTATTATAGTGTCTGCTACATGAGAGATGCTCAATAAATGTTACATCATGGCAGCAAAAGTAAAGTTGCAGCTCATTTACACCATTGTAAAGATCTGAAAAAGAGTTAAGGAGAAAAGAAAAATCCTAGGTGCTAGGATCACTTGAGTCTAGGAGTTTGAGATCAGCTTGGGCAACACAGCGAGACCCTGTCTCTACAAAAACTAACTGGGTGTGGCAGTGAGTACCTATAGTCCCAGCTACTTGGAGGTTGAGGTGGTTGGATTGCTTAAACCTGGGAGGCAGAGGGTGCAGTGAGCCAAGATGGCACCCCTGCACTCCAGCCTGGGCTATGGAAGGAGACTGTCTCAAAAAAAAATATTATTTCCTCGGTAGTATTTGTATAGGCATTTTTCACTCACACAAAAATGTAAAACATTAATTGGCCCATTAGCCTATCATCTAAGTAACCCCTGTTGATATATATTTTTTTAATTTTAAAAAATTTTAAGTGATGTATACGCATGATTAAAAAAATCCAGATAGTGGAGGAAGGTTTAAAATGAGCCTTCATTTTAAGGCTTATTTGGCCGTCTATGGTTACTGCTTTTTTTCCCTGATACCCCATAAATTAGTATATCTTCAAGTAAAATATTTTTGTTGTTGATACAGAAGTCATAATATATATTCAGTGTCCTGCACCTTGTTCTTATTCCACCCTCAATTTATCAGATTTGTCCATGTCAGCACATATTTCTCCTGCCCTTTATTCAGTATTTCGTAGTTTATTTAACCAGTTCCCTTTTCATAGACATCAAGGTTTTTGTTTTTCTAGATTGCACTTTTTATTTTGAAATTGTAGATTCACATGCAGTTGTAGGAAATGATACAAACAGATCCCCTTTACTCTTTACTCAATTTCCCCCAGTGGTACCAGCTTGAATAACTAGTACTATATCACAACTAGGGTATTTATATTGAGACCAAGTCAAGATACAGAACATTTCCATCACCCAAAGGATGTCTCATGTTGCCCCTTTATAAAAAGCCATACCTTGTTCCCTCCCAACCTCATGCCGCACCTTAACCCCTGGCAGCCAATAATCTGATCTCTATTTCTGTAATTTTGTCATTTCAAGAATGTCACATAAATTGAGTCATACAGTATGTGACCTTTTGAGATTAACTTTTTTACTTAGTCTAATTCTCTGGGGATTGATTTGGGTTTTGGGACATCAAACTTTTTTATTCCACTATCTAGCTATTACGAACAGCAAAGGACCTGCTTATATGGAGGGTTATTTGTAGGGGTTGCTAAGTTAGAGAGTATCTGGATTAAAAAAATTTGTGTTGCCTAATTGCCCTCCAAAAGATTGTTATCAGTTGTCCATACCAACAGTATATGAGAGTTTCTATTTTCCCTTTTGATAGCATAAGCAAAAATTGAGAAAATCTAATCTGGTAAGTGAAAAAATTATATAATTCTTTTAATTACATCAGGAATTGTTTTATGTTTTTAACCCTGTTGTATTTTTCTTAGGAACTGTTTATATTTGTCTTACTGATTTATAGTTCTCTAACAAAGAAGTCCATTCTTTGTCATATGTGACAGAAATATTAAATGCATCTATTCTCTCCTGATTTGAAATGCCATTGTTATTATAGATCCTCCTATCCAAGAAAAAGTCCTTCCATGGATGTATGTCTTCCATATTCCATCAGAATTTTAGTGTTATCTTCATATAGTGCTGGAATATTGGTTTTCATTTTTATAGTTACTGAATATGAAATCTTCTAACTGGTTAGTATACTGAAACGCTATTAACTTTTTAGTTTAATTTTATAATTGGGCGCTTACTCAATTCTTACTAATCTTTTTCTGGATTTTTTTGGTTTTTCTGGATATGCAGTCTACCATCTGAAGATAATAATTATGTTCCTGAAAATAGCCTTTGATTCTTCCTTTCCATAATTCTGCTTTCTCTTTTTTCTATTTGGATTGATGAGTACTCACAAAATAATGTTAAATAATACTCTAATGGTAGACACTAAAATGGTAATCTTTCTGTTGTTTTACCTCCAAGTGAGATGCTAGCTCTTATATTTGACATCTTTTTACCTACCTGTCTCCATCAAAGAAATGTACATCTGTTCTTATTTTTCCCAGGGTTGCCTTAAGATGCCATTTTGGCAGGATGACTGTGTGTATTTATGTGTGAATTTTTAATGTGTCTTAGAGCTTTTCTAATATTCAATCATTCTTGCATTCCTGGGATGTTCTATAATTGAAGATGTATTCTTTGGCTACACTACTAAATTACATTGACTACTATCCATTTATCTTGGGTAATATTAAGGTGAATATTAGGTGAATGTATAGGTGAATATGTAACTTCCATTTTTTGTTTATTGTAAAATGTATGTAACAAAACTTTTCTTCCCCAGCTTTTAAGTTCAGAGGTACATTTGCAGGATGTGCCGGTTTGTTACATAGGTAAACATGTGCCATGGTGGTTTGCTGCACAGATCATCCCATCACCCAGGTATTAATCCCAGCATCCACTAGCTATTCTTCCTGATCCTCTGCCTCCTCCCACCCCCACCCTCTGACAGGCCCCACTGTGTGTTGTTCTCACCACTATGTATTCTCATCATTTAGCTCCCACTTGTGAGAACATGCAGTACTTGGTTTTCTTTTCCTGCCTTAATTTACTAAGGATAATGGCCTCCAGCTCTATCCATATCTCTGCAAAGGAGGTGATCTTATTCCTTTTTATGGCCACACAGTATTCTATGGTCTATATGTACCACATTTTCTTTATCCAGTCTATCATTGATGGGCATTTAGGTTGATTCCATGTCTTTGCTCTTGTGGATAGTGCTTCAGTGAACATACACATGCATGTGTCTTTATAATAGAATGATTTATATTCCTTTGGTTGTATACTCAATAATGGGATTGCTATGTCAAAGGGTATTTATGCCTCTAGGTCTTTGAGAAATCACCACACTGTGTTCCACAATGGTTGAACTAGTTTACACTCCCACCAACAGTGTGAAAGCGTTCCTTTTTCTCTACAACCTTGCCAGCATCTGTCATAACATAAAACTTACCATTCTGACCATTTTTAAGTGTACAGTTCAGTGACATTAGGTACATTTGCATTGTTGTCATCACTATCTATCTTTAGAACTTTTTCATCTTCCCAGACTGAAACTCCGTACAATACTCTCCAATTTGCTACCCTCTAGCCTCTCTTGATAACCACTGTTCTACTTTCTGTCCCTATAAGTATGACGATTCTAGGTACCTCATTAAGTGGAACCATATAATAAATGTTCTTTCATGACTGACTGTTTTCATTTAGCATGCTGTCTTCAGGGTTCATCCATGTAGCATATTATCAGAATGTTCTTACTAAGGCTGAATAATACTCCATGTGTATACCACATTTTGTTTATGCATTCATCTCTGGTGGGCATTTGTATTGTTTCTACCTTTTGGTTATTGTGAATAATCCTGTTATGAATATGTGTGTACAAATCTCTCTTCAACTCCCTGCCTTCAGTTCTTTCGAGTGAAGTGGAATTTTACTCAAGTAGGAAAAGTGGAATTACTGGATCATGTGGTAATTCCATGTTTAATTTATTGAGGGATTGCCATATTGTTGTCTGAAACAAACAACTACATCGTTTTACATTTCCACCAGTAATGCACAAGGGTTCCGATTTCTCCATCTTCAAGTTAACACTTGGGATTTGTTGTTGTTGTTTTATCATAGCAATCCAGATAGGTATGAAGTGCTCTTAGTGGTTTCGATTTGCATGTCCTATAATTAGTGATGCTGAACAAACATCTTTTTCATGTTTCATGATATTTGCATGTTGGGCATTTGCATATCTTGTTTGGAGAAATGTCTATTCAAGTTTTTTGCCCATTTTTATAATCAGGTTTTTTTGTTCTTGGCCAGTTGTGTAAGTTCTTTATAATCTAGATATTTACCCCTGAGCAGATATGATTATAACTGTTTTCATCCATTCTGTGGGTTGACTTTTTACTCTGTTGATAGCATCTCTTGATAAAAGTTTTTAATTTTGTTAAAGTCCAATTTCTCTCTCTTTTTTTTTTTTTTTTTTTTTTTTTTTTTNCAGGGCAGGGGAGTTCTGGTTATGTTATCATATCCCTTTTACTTCCTTCTATTGTGATACCTGTTGGGTTTAGTATCAATATTATGCCGATTTTATAAAATGAATTTGGAAGCTTTCCATCTTTATGTTCTGGAAATATTTTAATAGTATAGAATTTTTCCAATTTTTAAAAAACAAGTTCTGAGATTGAACAGTGATTTTAGGTGTATGAGAGGATGATGGCAAAGGAGACAGATCATAAAACTGTTCAAAGGGAAACAAAATTAGAAATACTAATACTGGTTTCTACACTACTGCAAGTATAATACATTATGCAGCATATCCACTTATCTATTACCTTCTAACCAAAAGGATGTGTGTGTGTGTGTGTGTGTGTGTGTGTGTGTGTGTGTGTGTGTGTGTGTAGTATGTGGTTGGTTTTTTGGCAGCGATGTTTTTCTGAAAATACTTGGTAGGGGAAACAGGATTCCCTTACTAAAAATCTTTCTAGAATATACCCATTCTAGAAAGCAAGAAACAAGAACATCTATAATTGTTCACATCAGAGGTGGTTAAGAATAAGGAGAAAATTTTCATTTTAAATGCCATTCATTATCCTTTCACTTTTTCGTTTTTGTATTCCAGTCAAGAAAAGTATGTTTTAGGCACTTGTAATACTAATATGGAAAAACAATGTTAAGTCATTGCATAGTGGGGATACGTCTACAGATAGGTCAGACTAAATGTTGTTCCTTTTGACTTAGGAGCTGAAGTTGCCCTCCTACAAAGGCCAGTCCCCTCAATTAAGTCTCAGACGGTATTTTGCTGACTTGATTGCCATTGTGAGCAATCGCTTCACACTCTGCCCTTCTGCCCGCCATCTTGCTGTCTATTTACTGGACCTGTTTATGGACCGCTATGACATCTCTATCCAGCAGCTGCATTTAGTTGCGCTTTCCTGCCTGCTTCTAGCAAGTAAGTATGAATCTGAGTTATGTGACTAGAAATTTCTGTTGTTTCTATAAGAAAATAAATTTATGTAAAACTCAATGAAATATCATCAGGTCCCTTTCATTCCAGTTCACTAGTATCAGGAACCTTATGTTAAAAGTTCTCCTCAGTGCAATAATTCTTAACCAGATATTGAAAAATGGCTTTGGAGCTTATTCAAAACATGTGCCTAAACTCTACATCCTAGGCCACCCCACATCTACTAAAACGAAATCTACATAATGGGTCCTGGGTATTTTTTAACTTTTTAAAAAAGTCCCAAAGGTGATTTTGATGTACCTTTCCAATTGAGAACCATTGTCTTAAAGCAGTTATTCTAAACCAGGAGCAATTTTGTCCCACAGGGAACACTTGGCAATGTGTAGAGATGTTTTTGTTGTCACCTGGCAGTAGAGTAGGGGATGTTTTTTTAGCATCTAGTACATAGAGGCCTGGGATGCTCCTAACATCCTGTAGTATATAGGACAGTTGCCCATAACAAAACATCAATGGCGCTAAATTTGAGAAACTGTCTTACAGGCACCATACTCTTGTATTAGAATACTTTCTACTGGCACATGAAGAGTTGGCTTAATGAACTCAAAGTTAATGTGCACCTACTACAAATGTGAAAATTTTTGCTTATGCATTGGGCCAACCATGTAGTAGGTTCCAAGATACAATCTGATACAACCATATTTTTTACTCAGTACAGAATTCACTGGTGGACCTTTTGGCCCCTCTTTCTCATCTTTCTATATCCCATTTTGTTGCTTATTGGTACTCTCTTTGAAGGGCAAGTAAAGAAATTGAAATTGTGTTTTTTTTCTTTTAGTGATGTGGAAGATTGTATTTGATATGGAAGTTGAATCAATATTGTAGTTTCTATATTATCCATGTCATTACAATAGAAATTTAAAGTAGTATGTAGATATATTGATAACCTTCACCTTTAACTCCCACTTGAGGAAGAAAGATTATATTTGATATTGAAGTTAAATCAGTAATGTGCATCCATGTCATTACAATAGAAATTTAAAGTAGTATATAGATATATTGATAACCTTCACTTCTAACTCCTACTTGAGGTTTTGGGGTCAAATATGGCTGGGATCAAATAAGGAACATTCCACCTATATCCATGCCACCAGAGTTCTTTAGCACCTCTGTGCTTGGCTGCTTATAAATCTAAAACCAAATGTAGTCCTTTGTAGTATCATTTCTGGTACTAATCTCTTCTCAGATTTTATTTTCTGACCCTTATTCTTCCTTTGCTCTGACCCTTATTCTTCCTTTGCTCTGATGACCTCAACTACGTATTTTGTCCCCTGGAATGTCCTTTCGTAAGTTATTTCAGATCCATTGTAGAACCAGGCTGAATGTAAATAAAACACAGCTGCAGCATGACTTCCCATTGCCTATATGTTAAGGTGGAAATTGCTTAATGTGGTGTTTAGAATCTTTCATCTGGACCCAGCCACCTTTCCAGTCTCATCCCCATGCACATTGAGCAAAATTCTTAGAATACCATTTACTTCCTGAATATCTACATTTCCCTTTTAATCTATTGTTCTCTAAAATTCAGACACCTCACTCACCACTCACCCCCAACTCAGGAGGTGGAGAGGTAATGCTTGTATGTTTAACGTTTAATTTAGCCTCTAATTAAAGTTTCATGCTCGTAAGTAATCGTGTGTAATACTATATGTTTCATCACTGGCTGTGAAGCCCTTTAGGGTTTAATAGTTTAAGATTGGAAAAGCTAACACTTGACAGTTTAGATGTGTGAGAGTCCACAAAATGGCTTTTTGTTACTGTATAGAATGTTGGTGTATTACAGAATCTGTTTATAATAGAGTGTCATTGGAAATCACACATGCAAGTTAAGTTCTTTTAAAAACTTGGTATCACTAATGGAAAGTAACTGTGTTGCCTGCTATGGCCATCACTGTCTTTTTAACAGTACTATGTCCCACCTGCTCTATGCCTAGATTCTTAAAGTATAGTGTGGGCCAAGTGGAGGGTCATCTTTGTGTACCATCTTAGGTTGGCTGGAATGGAGTTTTCAGTTGTTCTTATTTTTAAATTATATATTTCTATTTAAAGTCATGAACAATTTATTGTATTGAACTATTTGGATTCATATGAGCTGTAAGATGTAGTTGTGACTCATTTTCCAGTAATTAGGCATTAGGATCTGTGCTTGCTAGAGTTCAAATATGAATTATCACCTATTACTGAAAGAACTGGATGCCTCCCTCCTTTTTCTGCTGACTCTTGATTTCCCTTTCCTTGAGGAGAGGATTGCTTTTACATTCTCCCTTTGCATTGGAGAGTGGGAATGTATGTGAGGTATTCTTCAGGATCTCTGCTCCTCCCAGCTAGCAAGTTGTTCAAAACAGTTTGAGCTATCAATTCACACCAGGGTCAGGAATTGAAGAGGCTGGTCCTTTGTAGGCAGCAGCCTCTACCCTTGCCCCCCAATTCCAGTCCATAACTTTAAAGCAGAAGAGCTTAGGAATTTTTTTTGAAACGGAGTCTCACTCTGTTAGCCAGGCTGGAGTGCAGTGGCGCCATCTTGGCTCACTGCAACCGCTGCCTCCCAGGTTCAAGCGATTCTCCTGTCTCAGCCTCCTGAGTAGCTGGGATTACAGAAATGTGCCACCATACCCAGCGAATTTTTTCTATTAGAGACAAAGTTTCACTATATCAGCCAGGATGGTCTCAATCTCCTGACCTCATGATCCTTCCACCTCTGCCTTCTGAAGTGCTGGGATTTCAGGTGTGAACCACCGTGCCCAGCCATGCTTAGGAGTCTTAGAAACTGATAACCTATTTTCAGTGTCTGATTCCTGTTTAAAATTTGTGGAGTTTATTATATTGGGAAGCTATAGCTGTTTGGCCAAAGATGGAGCACACCTTATAAGTTCTAGAAGCAAATGCTTATGTTACACTATTAGAAAAAGAAGGGGCCTACAGATTATCTCTGGAGAGCTATGTGTAGTGTTTTGGAGCAATGACCATAGTGATGGATTCCCTGGGTTGGAATCTCTCATCAGCAGAATGAATTTCAACAACCTTTGAATATCAGGTTGTTTCTATATAAGATGGAAATAAAGACACCTTACAAAGTAGTTCCGAGGATCAAGTCGGGGGGTAATATGTTTAAAAGCATGTAGGAAATGGAAACATAAAAAGATTAGCATGGTAATAATTAATTCCCCCACAAGTTGCTTTGTTTCCTTTAGCCTACCTCCATTACCCTAAAGGTTTTGACCTATTCCAAACTGGTCCTGAATTTTTCTAGGGAAGTACTCCTATTCCAACTCATTCACATGTATGCCCTGGCTTCCCTTGGCTTCTGTGACCAGCATTACATTTATGGAGCATGTGGAAGTAATCTTGGAGATAAGATTTCTCATAATTTGCTCAAGATCTTACATAACTAAGAAATGATCTTGGAGTCAAGATGAAGTGAAAAGTGAGACAGTGGCTTTTAGCAGTAACAGTTTGTAACAAGTGCTTGTTTCCCCTTGCTGACCAGTACTGGGTTAGCAAAGCTTTTTACTGATCTGTGAAAATTTGTTATCTCACGGTTGTTTTAATTTACATCTCAATTTTTAGTGAGCTTAGAATTTTTTCTATGAATGACCTTTCTCTTTGCCCATTTTTATATTACATTTGTCTTATAGATTTGTGATAATTCTTCATACATATTAAGGATGACTTTTTTTCCCCACTTAGTAACAAAAAATAGAATATGAGTTGGCAGAGCACCCAGTGACATCTGATCCGTGCCTTATTCAGTATATAAATCTTCTCTACCACATACCTACCATTCATTGCTGGCTTTGAAAATGTATTGGTTTCCATGGCTGATCTGAACATATCCTATAAAGGAAAGACAACTCAGTGATTTTGTTTCTGTGGCCTCTAATTCTTTATTTTCTGGGAAGCAGATATGAATTTCCTGTGCCCTTATTTCCTGTTTGGGGCCTTTATCAATATAATCACATGGCTTCTGGTATTTCCTTTCAATTTAAGAAACTGATCTTTGTAGTCTGTGTGTGGTATTGTGGATAAGTAAACTTAAAATGCCCATACACATAGCAGTCAGCACAACAGAAACTATAGATATGAATGCAGGGGCCGGGCTTGGTGGCTCATGCCTGTAATCCCAGCACTTTGGGAGGCCGAGGCGGGTGGATCATTTGAGGTCAGGAGTTTGAGACCAGCCTGGCCAACATGGTGAAACACTGTCTCTACTAAAAATACAAAAAATTAGCTGGGTGTGGTGGCCGTCGCCTGTAATCCCAGCTACTTAGGAGGCTGAGGCCGGAGAATCGCATGAACCTGGGAAGGTGGAGGGTTGTAGTGAGCTGAGATCATGCCACCGCACTCCAGTCTGGGTGACAGAGTGAGACCCTGTCTCAAAAAAAAACAAAAACAAAGATATGTAGGTACTCATTGACGTTATCACATGTTCTGAAATCTCTTAATATCCATGTATCTGAATATTTATATCACTACACATAATGAAAAATTTCCAAAAATTTGAACCCTGAATTAAAACGCCAAGTATGGGTATTTATTCAGAATGTAGATTATTCTTAACTTTGCAAGATCAATACGCAAAGTGTTTTACACTTGTAGTAGCCAAATATTTTATAAATGTAAACATCCCATAGATGCATAATAATATAGAAATCTGTCCGTTCCGGTCTAGAAGTGCTAATTTGGGAATTCAAACATAAATCTTCCTTTGGCTTTGATTTTTGGTTTGATTTAACTTATTTGACCTTAAGTGGATTGGCCACCCTCACTACCTTGGTTTTTGAGCAATGAAATCAGTCATATACAATTTTTTTTCCAGTGTTAAAAATTTCAGGGAAATATTATGAAACTTCTTGCTCCTTGAATTATAATTTACTAATTTCTTCAAAGGAACTTTAAGCATGATATAAATAAACTCATTAATTTCTACAGTAGTACTTTGAAGTATTCTGCCAGTATTACTGTTGCTACACAAATGGCATGGTGTTTGAAAGCTGTAATGATTCATCCAGAAGGACTGAACTAAATTCCTGAGTCATTCTCCTTCTGAAGAATTTTGCTTCATACTAAGAATATTGGTTTCCTCTTCTTTTTTCAGACAAGATGCTGGATAACTATGTCATACAGACCACTTTAGTGCTTTCAACTTTACTAAGTATTTGCTATTGGCAAGCTTGTGAAATTGATAATTTTATGTGATTTGAATTAAGAAGAGCTATCTAGTGTCTTAAAGTCTTAATTACATAAGTTTTGGATCAGCTTCTATCTGCAGCAATATTTAGTGAGAATGGTTCAGATTTAAGGAAGTTCACCTCTCTACCATCATTCCTGCTTCTTTGGGCTTAGGTTCTTCTTAACACGTGATCTTAGAATCTCCTGGCATAGGAGACAAATGCCTTTTATCCCAGTTCCACTCCCTAAGCAAAGACCAAGGCAGTCAGCAGCATTTCCCCCCCAGCTCCAAAGCAAACCAACAGGAGCAAACCCCCACTGGCTCCACCACCATTGCCTGTACACTGAGCATCTGGGCTGAGTGTAGCAACTTTAACATGCGGTGCAAACCCATCTCCTCTAGAAGAGAAACATCACAGAGAAACTCTTCTGGCTTCTCCTGATTTGGTAGTCTTTCTGGTACTTCTTTAAAAAAATGATTTTAGGCCAGGCGCAGTGGCTCACACCTGTAATCCCAGCACTATGGGAGGCCAAGGCAGACAGATCATGAGGTCAAGAGATTGAGACCATCCTAGCCAATATGGTGAAACCCTGCCTCTACTAAAAATACAAAAAAATTAGCCAGGCGTGGTGTCACATGCCTGTAGTCCCAGCTACTCAGGAGGCTGAGACAGGAGAATCGCTTGAACCCAGGAGGCAGAGGTTGCAGTGAGCCAAGATTGCACCACTGCATTCCAGCCTGGTGACAGAGCAAGACTGTCTTAAAAAAAAAAAAAAAAAAAAAAGTTTTTAAATAATAAAATTAGAAAATTTCTAAGGAAATGAAAATATATTGAAATATATTAAAATAATTTTTATATAGTATTTGTTGCTTTAGTAACATTCAAATGATTTTGAACAAGTATGGGTGTACAATTATTCTGATAAATCTATAATAATTATAGTACAATAGGACAGTTTTAAACCTTAAATCTAAACTAGAACACATGTTGACATGATGACAACTCTGGTTCTGTTGCTACATCTGGAAAATCATTAATAGTAGTTAATAGTTTGTAAATGTTCTCTAGCTGTCAGTTCTAGAAATACTTTCTAAAATGAAGGCTTTATATACACAGTAAAATGCTCGTTTGGAAAGTAACGTGTAAGATGGTACATAATCTATAGAAACATTATTCTGGGGCTGGAAATAGAATCTTATTCTTCAGCTGTGCATAGTTGAAAACTTACAGATGAGTATTTTCAGAAAAGAAATTAATCACTTTGAATAATGGTCAGCCATGATACTGTCTTTACTTCTATTCTGCTTTCAATAAGGGAGTTGAAAAGCAGATATAAAGTATTTCCCCCATGTCCCTTTTTTCTTTAACAGACTTAACTAGATTTTCATTTTGAATTTAGAAGTGGTGGGGATGGGGTTTTTTGTGGAATGATAGTGCTTTTGTTAAATGTTCACCCAGTTTTTCCCTCCAATCTCTCTCTCTCTCTCTGAAATTGAGATTATGTTGAAAATATGCCAAAATGAAACATTTAGAGCTTAACTATTTTTGATTTTAGATAAAGCTATGACACTAAATGGTTAAAACTATCTTCTCTAAAATCAAATAATTTATTTTACCAGCTACCACCCACCTGCAAAAAAAATTTCCTGAGAAGATTCAGCTGATGAGATTGAGTTAGTTTTTTCATTGGCACATTACTATTTCCATTATATACTAGAATATAGATCAAAATGTTTACATATTTCAAGGATTTATTTTTTTTCAGGGGATTGGGGAAAGGTTGGGGTTGGTGGCTCTGGGAAAGAAAACATACGCAAATGTGAGAACCACAGGGTTCTGGCACAGTTGTTTCTGTGCAAGGTAAGTACATCTTTGGATCCTGGCAGTAAGACAGCAAATCCCATTTTACTGACTAGGCTTATAATGAACACTTGCCTAACATTTTCTCTCCTCTCCCATCCCCTTTTCTTAAAAGGTAAATTTGAAGAAAAAGAAGATAGTGTGCCTAAGCTGGAGCAGCTCAACAGCCTGGGTTGTATGACTAATATGAATCTAGTATTAACAAAACAAAATTTGCTACATATGGAACTATTATTATTAGAAACCTTTCAGTGGAACCTCTGCCTTCCAACAGCTGCCCATTTCATTGAGTATTATCTCTCTGAAGCAGTACACGAAACAGATCTTCATGACGGCTGGCCAATGATTTGCTTGGAAAAGACTAAACTCTACATGGCCAAATATGCAGATTACTTCCTGGAAGTATCTTTGCAAGGTGGGTTGTTGTGAATACCAGTAAGTGACTTGTGCACTTGTGACTCATGTATTCTGTTCCTTAAGTTCGTTTTTGGTGTCTCCACAGATTATGCCTTTCTAAATTATGCACCTTCTTTAGTAGCTGCTGCATGTGTGGCTTCTTCGAGGATAATACTTCGTCTTTCTCCAACGTGGCCTACGAGACTACATCGTCTTACTGCTTACTCTTGGGATTTCTTAATGCAGTGTATTGAACGGCTATTGATGTAAGCCTTTTTATTCTTGTGTTTAAATTTCTCATTAACAGTTTTCTTCATGTATGAGGTGCCTTGAAAACAACTTCTGAAGGGCACAGAGTTCCTAGGATATTTGCTTTTGGCAGGAGTTACTTGCTGCCACGAGCAAGCCCGTGCATGAGCAGAACTCTGGGGAAGGAGAGTCCCTTTTGGCCATTAACCATTTAGAAGGTATCATTGCTAGAATGATTCTGGGCACATGATAAGGAAAGGAGCTGCTCTTGTCTGTCTGTAAGTCAGTAACTCTGAGATCAGTCCAGGCCAGTCTTGCCCATTCCTACATCTTTGAATTTTGAGGGCCACCAGAATGTTACCAAAGTGTCTGCCACATGTAAGTGCTTATTGTGGACACATCTCCCAAACTGGAAATAATCCTCAAAGCTACCAGGAAGGTTCACATCAAGGGAAATAGCTTTAGAAGAACACAAGTGAGGTCTCACTGTTGTTGGAATTATGGTGCAGTGACTGCTACCTGGGTAGTGGTGGCAGGTCATAGAAGAAGCTGTTGAGGAGTTGGGGATGGGGCATGACTTTCTTGCAAATTCTTCTCAAGTAATATTTTTAATAGTTTCCTTTCTCTCTGTTTCAGCGCTCACGATAATGATGTGAAAGAAGCAAACAAACAGAGAGGACAAGCAGGACCTCAGTCAGCACAACTAAGTATGTTCCAGACAGCCTCCCAGCCCTCACGACCAGTTCACTTTCAGCAACCTCAGTATCTCCATCAGACACATCAGACCTCATTGCAGTATCGCCATCCTACATCAGAGCAACCAAGCTGTCAGCAGATTGTATCGACCACACACACGTCATCTTACACACTACAGACATGTCCTGCTGGCTTCCAAACTAGTGTTCAGGGCCTTGGGCACATGCAGACTGGTGCTGGGATGTCACTGGCAATACCAGTAGAAGTTAAGCCCTGTCTGAGTGTTTCTTATAACCGGAGTTATCAGATAAGTGAACATTACCCTTGTATTACTCCATGTTTTGAAAGGTGATTATGTGTGAAGCTGATAACTGACCCAGACTCTTTTGTGACATGAAGCTATGGGTAAGCATTTTGTAAACTTCTGTTCAAAAGGAAAGGGATCTAAGTGACATCAGAACTCTTCAGGTACCAGCACCAAGAAGACTGAATATCCCTTTTAATACACCATGAATCCTGGGAGGACTAAGCAAATTAACAGTGTGTCAAATTCTGTTACAACAAATCCCTGTATGACAAAGATGTTCAAGTCCTGGCTGATGGTCCAAATATTTCAAAAATATTCAACAGAAAATTTGGACAGACTCCAATTTGCCATTTTGAGATTTGACCTGTAGTAGCATCTGGACCTAATGTTGGCTTCTAAGTCAAAGACTAAATATTTATCTTATCTATGAACTTGCCAAACAGTCTTTTATGAAGGAAAGTTACAGTATTAATTTTTGAAAAGATTTTTATTCTGCAATTTTTTATTTTTGTTCTACAGATGAATTTTTGACTTATGAATTCATAAGTTTAAACTCATGAATTGTTACGCTATACCAATCTGCAGTTTAAAAAAAGAATTTTTTTAGATGATTCTATACAACTTCCTCTCATAAATAGTATAGGTTTCTGGATTTATATGCTAAAATTAAGGGTGGAGTAGATATCTTATTTTTAAATCATGGTCATAATTTTTCTTTTTTTCCCTAAGTGATCAACCTCAAATTTTTAGAATTGAAAGACATTTAACTCAGGGAATTTGTACTACTTGGAAACACTTAACTATAATGCAACATACCTTGGGAATGTTATAATATGAACTACCTTTATAACATAAGTTAAAATACTCTTGCTAGGGTGTGTTTTCAAATGAGAGCATAATATAATAGCTCAGAATGAAGTGGTAGTTCCTGTGATTCATAATACATATATAGGTTTTGCATTTCTCAGTGCAATCCGTGATTTATACTCAGAATTGACATTCTTTAAAAAAAAGTTATTTCAAGAGAAGGCATAACTGTAAGAGGTCAGTGCTAGAATAAAGTCCTGTAGGTTTATTTTGGAGGGGACTGTGGCCAGGGTAGTTCTCAGGTTGTGCTAGAGCAGCACTTTGTTATGTGGAAGACAGGTTTTTTAAGCAACCTTTGAATCCAGCTAGTCAGTCTAAGCAGGCAAAGGTAACTGATGACTAAATTTCAGTAGCTACTTTCATTGGACTGACCCTGCAATTGCCCTGGGACATTTCACTGTACTGGTATTAACTGCAAACAGCAATAATGGTCATTACAGCAAGGGCAGCTTTGGGGTAAAGCATTTTGGAGGAATTACCTTAAAAAGTTAAAAAGCTCATTGTAATAACTGATAAACTGTATACATTGCGCTCCTTTCTGTGGGAGAAGAAAGATTTGGTGGAGGGAAGCTTTCTGGTTTAAAAATTAGTATGTGTTTAAAAATTTTTGTGTTTTTTTAAGATAGCACTTGAATAGAAGGGAATCTGCATGGCAGATATGTGACTGCCACAATATGCATTGAAGACAAACTATTATAAAGATGTCGTGGGTATGCAGCAGGAGTCTCAGTAATCAAGCCAATGGCCTTTGTTAGGAAGAGAAGGGGCTCAACACAGTGATGGACTGATCCAGATGGCTCCTGGGGATGAATGTGGGTGGGTGGCTTCTGCCAGCATGAATGCTTGGAGAAATGTCCTTTCCTTAAAAAGAAAATATCTTATTTTTAGAGTACATAGGGCATGATGTGGATTTATTAGTCTGGTAGATAAAATGAAAAAACACTCAGGTAAGAACACTCACTCATGGCAGTTTTTAAGTATGAAAATAGTTTTCTGAAAGTATCATCACTTTTTAAAGAAGGCTGCTAATTGGATTTTGGTAGTTCTTACATCAAGAAAACTTGAATTGTTTGGGGAAAGTGGACTCAAAAGAGCATATATCTTTCACATTCACATTCAGAACCCAGCAACCTGGAGTCTAGTTTTCAGTATTTTAACTACCTCAATAATGCTATGAATGTAAGATACTGGGATAGAGATCCCAACTTGAAACAACAACCAGTGCCTGTGGTAACTTAATGTCTGTCAAATACTTTTATTGATTGGTTTATATGCCATTCTTGTTATAGAAGAATATGCCTTTT